GAGAGCTCGGAGCTAGAGGACGACGACGCCGAGGGCCTGTCCTCCCGCCTCAGCGGCACCCTTAGCTTCAACAGCGCCGACGACGAGGACGACGAGGACGATGAGGACGAGGAGGCCACCGGCCCCGACCCGCTGCCCCCTGGGGACGGGGCGTCAGGAGAGGACGCAGGCGAGTACGGGCGGACAGAGGCGGGAACACTGGGGCTCGAGTAGGCCTTCCACCGCAGCGCTGCTCCCGAAAGCATCGGGGTGTTCTGAGATGATCCTGCCCAAACTCCGAAATTTCGACACTTCTTGAAGTGTCCCAGCCGTCTCTTGGCTGTGGGACCTCAAGAGTCACAACACCTCTCTGAGCCAAGTTTCCCCTTGTGTCAAACGGGGACATCACCCCCTTCTCAGGGATGTTGGGACATTATTAAAGGTACATAGTCTGGGACACAAATGGTAATGTGCTAGGGGATGTTTTGCGGGTGGAGATAGTTATTTAGCGCCTACTGTCTGCCCGGCACCGTGTTTGGCGTCTGGCCCCTAATTTCCATTTATGACAAACGGGGATAAAGCTGTGTCCGCTGCTGGAAGGAGTGAGGTCATGGCACGTGGTTGATGTCGACCCTGGCCCCAGGCCTGCTGATGTGACTGGTCACTTACTCATGCAGAACGGAACCCCTCACCTGACGCACAGCGGGGCAGTCAGCTCCTGACGCGGCAACTGCAGGATTTCTGGAAGAAGTCCCGGAACACCCTGGTACCCCAGCGGCTGCTCTTCGAGGTGACTAGCGCCAACGTGGTCAAGGAACCCCCCTCCAAGTACGTGGTGAGTGTGGGTCCAGGAGCCCCTGGGCTGTGAGTCTAGAAATCTAGCTAAAAGAAAGGGAAGATTCCAACTCCCTTGGGGGGAAGGGAGCTGGCTGTGTAGTTGTAAGTGGCTGCCCCCATTTCACAGATGGGAAACTGAGGCTGAAAAGGGGATGTAACTTGTGGAAGTCTCCCAGCAAATGACAGCGTGTCTGAGACTGAGTCAAAAGAGGATTATGGGCCCGCCACCTATCCTGGCTTTGAAAATAAGAGAACTAGTGTGTGTGCCCCCACTCACCTCGCCCCCCCAGGGTTTTGCAAAATGTAGCAAGGTGCAAGGTACACAGGAAACAATCTTGTTTGGACCAGGCTTGAAGACCTAAGTTGCATTGGTTGGTGGTTTAAAAACAATTAGATGTTGGATGCCAGTTGTCTGACCTTGGGTGAGTTGTATAACCCCAATGATCCAGTTCATCGGAGCAATGGGGATAATGCGGAGGATTGTCACAGGAATTAGATCAGACAGTGCACAGAAGACCCTTAGCACAGTGCCTGGCATTATGAAGTGCTTCAGAAAATGCATGATAAAGTAAAAAGTAGCTCTGTTGTTATGTTAGCTTTGGACTAAAAATGTCTGGCATCCAGGGCCTGCTGTGGCCTCTTCACAACCCGGGCCGACCCACTCTCCAGCAACCGCCGTGTGTGGAAAAAGCTTGTCCTAAGGGCTGCATTTAGGGGGTTGGTGGGGTCGGGTGAGGAACACTGTGGGGAGGGCCGGGAGTCCCCGTTTTCTTCTCTGTGGGAAGGAGAAACTGACATGGAAAATGAGATCTGTCAGGTCCTGCCCTAGGCCAGGCCTGAAACCCAGTCCGACCTGGCCGGCCCTGGCGGCCGCAGCTCCCTGCCTGTCACCTCCCCCCTCCATTTCTGACTCAGCAGGACAGGGGCCTGGAGCCCGGAGCCCGGTCTCCCATCTGGGCCTCACCACCGCTCTGTTGCTGTTAGTAAACAAGGTCCACGCCCACGGGGCGATTGCTTCAGTTTGAGCAGGGATTGACTGATAATCGAGTCTTCAGTGGCAAAAGTCCTGGCCAGGCACCATGCACAGGAAGGAGACCCCAAGGATCAGTTATCAAGGAGCAGCTGGGACACAAGGCAGTATGGGCATGACTCTGGGGACAGAATGACAAGATGGAGCAGGATGGCCAAACATGCCCTGGCCCACGTCTGGACAAACAAATCACCTCCTTTGTCTACCGGGACCCCTAAATCTCCACTGAACTTCTCCTGGGGGGTTAGAGCACAGACTTTAGAATTAGGTCAGCCTGGGTTTGAAGCCCAGCTGGGCCCTTTCCCAGCTGTGTGACTTCGGGGCCTCGGCTGTCAGAGTGAGGACACCTTCCTTGCAGTGCCGAGGTGATGAAATGAGACGGTGGCTGTGAAGTGCCCGGCGCCGTACGAGGCACAGGGTAGGCGCTCAGTTCATGGGGCCACTATCACAATCACCTGTCTCGGCAGGACGTTGTAAGGGTCATGTAAGGACATGTAAGGACATGTAAGGGTCTTGGCAGGACATTGTAAGAGATAATGAATATTAGATGGTTTGGTGCCAAACCCTCCCCCCCCAAAATAAAAGCCAGATAAACATAAGGGGTCATTATAGACCAGTTCTTCCTGAAGTGTGTCCTACAGAAAATAGGTTTCCTGGAATGCTAATAACTATTCCTTTAAAAGAAAAAAAAAAAGGTTTTTGTAGTCAGTGTGTTTGGGGAATACAGAGTTGAAGAGTAAAATAAAGTTTCTTTACTGTTTGACTTTGTAATCCTTGGTATTAAAAAGGACACTGTGAATGTTCGAGAAAAGGCTAGAGTAGGCAGACTTAACTGGCCACGGGCGGCTACAGCACTGGCAGAGAAAACCTAGGGGAAACCCCTGGGTCTGCTGTTGGCCTGCCTTTAAAATCTAGCATTCACCAGCCCCCTTTTAAAGCTGCTGGCTTGGCGTTCTTGCAGACTGCCCCCTGCTCGGGTTCTCGGGCCCGGAGGGGGGAAGTCGCACAGCGTTTCCCCGAACATGGGTCCCTCGGTAGCACCTTCACAGTTCCCGTCCCGTCGGAGTGCTGCTCCTGTCATTCTCTGTTGAACGTTTTTCTCCAAATGCAACTTTTTTTCCTTACGTAAGTTTAAAAGACAACTTTGTAGGACCACAGTATATGGAAGGCCTCGCTTGCCATAAGGAGATTATCCACAAAAATAAAAGCAGCGACAAAGTGTCATTGAGCCCTGCCTGGATGCTGTTGCCTGTGTCTTCGGGCTCATTTCTAAAAATGGAGCCGAGAGGTGTTGAAGTGCTTTTTTAAAACCAGAACTTCTCAAATTTGAGGTCAGAAAGATTCAAAGAGAACTGCCGGGGGAGGCGGGGGGAAGGAATCACCTCCTTCCTCTGATTCAGTGTTACTTACTCCAGCACATACCTCTTAAAGACCTCAGGGCCAACACGTGCACGGGTCTTACACCTGAGTAAACACTGACCCAGGAGGCCCAGGCTTCCTTCGCGGGAGGAGGAAGCTGACTCCAGGGGGCCTGCCTTGCCTGATGTCACACAGGGAGGGCAGGAGTAGCTGGCCCCTGGGTTAGAACTGGAGTGCGAGTGCAGGATACTTTTCAGTGATCGCTCCTGGGGTGTCTGAAGACCCGTCCTCCAGGTCTGGACTGGAACGACCTGGCTAGGAACGTGGGTGCTCCGTGCTAGAGTAGAACACAGCTCCTACGGGTTGGCTCAGAGGCCCAAGAGACTGGCCTGGGGCTCCAGAGGGGCTGTGAGAAGAGCTAATGGCCCCAGTGAGAAGGGAGTACTTTCTGGAAGGGGCAGAAGGGCAGCGGCTCCAGGCACTGAAGCTCATCTCTGTCTTTCTCTCCCCGTGCTGCCTGGGCCTGGGCCATTTCAGACGAGCCTCAGGTAAGACGAGCTGGGCTCCCTGGCTGCTGCCCGAGCAGCCCCCACCTTCCTGGGCCCAGTCTTAGGGGTGAAGGGAAGAGGTGGGGGAACAGCGCTGGAAGTGGGTGTGGGGAGGGAAGGGGCCCACGGACAGCTTGCACCCGCCCTGACCCCTACCCTCCCCGCAGCTCTACACCATCGCCGTGACGGGGCCGGGGCCACCGGACCGCCAGCCAGCCCAGATCTCTCGCCGATACTCGGACTTTGAGCGGCTGCACCGAAACCTGCAGCGGCAGTTCCGGGGTCCCATGGCCGCCATCTCCTTCCCCCGGAAGCGCCTGCGCCGGAACTTCACTGCAGAGACGATCGCCCGCCGCAGCCGCGCCTTCGAGCAGTTCTTGAGCCACCTGCAGGCAGTCCCCGAGCTGCGCCAGGCCCCAGACCTGCAGGACTTCTTCGTGTTGCCCGAGCTGCGGCGGGCGCAGAGCCTCACCTGCACGGGCCTCTACCGTGAGGCCCTGGCGCTCTGGGCCAACGCCTGGCAGCTGCAGGCCCAGCTGGACACTCCGTCCGGCCCCGATCGCCCTCTGCTGACCCTGGCTGGGCTGGCTGTGTGCCACCAGGAACTGGAGGACCCTGGGGAGGCCCGGGCGTGCTGTGAGAGAGCTCTTCAGCTGCTGGGAGATGAGAGCCCCCACCCTTTACTGGCGCCCTTTCTGGAGGCCTATGTCCGCCTCTCCTGGCGCCTGGGCCTGGACAAACGCCAATCAGAGGCCCGGCTCCAGGCCCTGCAGGAGGCGGGCCTGACCCCCACGCCACCGCCCAGTCTCAAAGAATTGCTCATCAAGGAGGTACTGGACTGACCTTGTCTGGACTTCAGGCTGCCCTGGGGAGAGGCACTGCCCCCGGGACGGCAGGGGCGGGGGACTGATGAGGACCTAACCGCGGCTGGGAGGCTGTAGGGGTGCTGGGAACCCCTGGAAGTACCACGGAGAATTTATGGTAGACCAAGGATATGTGATTCTTCCGCTGAGCTGGGCTCGGGAGAAGCTCTGGCTGGGAATGCCTGAGGCGGGGCGGGGAGGGGGTCCGATGCCCTCCCTTCAGCCTATGAGCAGGCCGGGGTCAGGGTTCCCTTTGCCTTGGGCCTCCCGGCCAGCGAAGCCACCTGGCCGGAGGGCCAGGGACTCTGCCTCTGGAGTCCTGGAGTTGATGGCCGGAGGGCGGCACGCTGCAGTTCTGGCCCAGGGGAATTAAAGGCCAGCGGCTCCAGTGTTACCAGTCTCTTTATTGGCTGTGAGGGACAGAAGGCCCAGCCTCCAGCTGTGACTCCTGCGTCAGGAGTGGGGGAGGCGGGAAGAGAAGGGAGGTCCTTGAAGCTCCAGGCCCAGCTGGAACCTCTGGCTACAGCTTGCTCCCTGAGACCTGGGGCTTCACTCGGATCACGCCCTCCTGGGCACAGGACACGGCCAGGACCCCGTCCCGACGCCACAGCTGCCCACGGACCAGCCCCCGGGAGCCACCTGTGGACAAGGAGAAGGGTAAGAACAGCCTCCTCTCTCCTTCAGCACAGCCAAACAGGCTTCTGGAAAAGAGCGCAGTCCAGGTTGGGCTGCCCCGTACAAGGGCACACTGAGTGTGTGGTCACTCCCAAACCCCAAGTGCCCTTTTATGAGCCTGGGTGGTCACTCATTGGGAGTAACTCCTCCCACGGGAACCCAACTCGACAATTTAAAAGCAGTTTCACATCTCCTCTGGATTCCTCAAAAAGATCAGAGCCCTGGATGGTGTGGCTCAGTGGATTGAGTGCCAGTTTGCGAACCAAAGGGTCGCCGGTTCAATTCCCAGTCAGGGCACCTGCCTGTGTTGGGGGCCGAGTCCCCAGTAGGGGGTGTGCAAGAGACAACCACACATGGATGTTTCTCTCCCTCTCTTTCTCCTTCCCTTCCCCTCTCTCTAAAAATAAATAAGTAAAACCTTAAAAGAAAAGATCATAGAGCGGGGGCTTCTAGAACAGTCTCAGACAGTACCTGGGTAAGCAGATCCAAGCTTGAGTTAGGAAACCTGTCAGTTCCCTTTACAGTAAATCAGACCAGTCCCTCCAGGCTGGTATTATAGAAAAAACAGCCCCGCCCCCACCCCACCTCCAAGGGTACAAAGGGGCTCAGGGGAGAGGACCTGAGGTCCAGCCACCCTCCCTCCCCACCCACCGATTCTCCTTTGCCATCCTTGGTCTCGTTTGGTGTCTATGACCGGAGCTGCCGGCTCCCCTTGCACGCAGTGCAGCTCGCTTGGTCCCCACAGCCGCCGCGTGAGGTGGGGCTGCGCGTCCCCTTTTCCAGAAGAGCCTGGAGTTTAGAGAGGCTCAGGGACTCGGCTTTAGGAATCAGGCCAAACCCCAACCCAAGTCTCCCAACTTCAAGGTTGCTGATCCTGTATTGTGATGCCGTTGGTCCTCGGGAGTCCCCCTTCCCTGAGGATAAAGAGTCCCTCAAGTTTTGAAGTTTTGTCCCTGTTGTACAAGGTGAGGCTTTTCTTCATTTGAAAGCACTTCCTTGGAGAGGAACCCGGGCTCTGCCACCAGACACGGATGAACAAGTCTGGTTTCTCCGTGTCTGATGAGGAGCTTCCAAGTAGCCAGGCCCTTGGGAATTGTTAAGTGCCCCTGGCCCCAACCAGGTTAACTGGCAGAAGCACTTAGGGAGCTTCTTAAAAATACAGTTTCCTGGACCTCTTCCAAGACCTGCTGAGTCAGAATCTTAGAATCTGAGCATCTGTTTTGACAAAGCTCCCCCAAGTGGTGGTGTGATGGGCCACCAGGTTTGGATACTGTTACTCTAGTACAACTCTATTTAGGTTGGGAAACTGAGGCTCGGACAGGCGACGGGACTTGCCCAAGGTCACATGGAGACTCTGAGGTTGTTCTGGGACTTGAACTGGGTCTCTGAGATACAGTGAATCACAGTCCCAGTGTGTTACAGAAACTAAGAGTGGAACAGGTGCCTTGTCCTCCAGCCTCACCCTGTCGTTTCAAAGACAAGGATGCCAACGCCTAGGGGGACAGGAGAGCAAGTGACCTGTGTGGTACCCCATAGGAAAGCACGTTCCCTGCCACCCCAAGGCCAGTGCTCTTGGCCCACGTGGCCCCACACTTACCAGCCCAGGGGCTCTCGCACTCATAGAGCATCCAGTGGTCCGCTCGGAAGGGGGCGTGGAACCACATGGAGTGGTCCAAGGAGGCCATGAGGTGCACCTTGCAGTGCCCCTGGTACGGCAGCAGGGCCGTGCCCAGGAAGGCATAGTCCGAGATGTAGGCGGCCACGCAGCAGTGCATCTTGAAGTCGCCCTCCCCTGCAATAGGTCCCAGCCCCATCAGCGCTGGGCTCCTGGGCTTTATAGCTCAGGACCTGCAGGGAGGTGGGGAGAAAGGGGCTGCCGCGCACAGACGTGCAGACTGTCCGCTGCACGAGGGCACCTGGCGGGGGTGGAGTCTTCAGTCCCCAGGTCTCCCACACAGGTAGCAGCGGACCTGGAGAAGAATCTCAGCAAGGTGCCCTGCCTTCCCCAGAAAGGGCCCGAGTTAGGATTACAGTCACCTCCCATTCTCGCCATGCGAAAGCCTGATGGCCCTGGTGAGAAGCTGAGCCAACTTCCCTATCACACAGATGAAGAAATAGGTCCAGAGAGGGGAAGTGCCATGCCCAAGGCCACACAGGGCAAGTGAGGTGCAAGCCAGAGGGTCCCCTTACCAATGTAGCCCCGGGCTCGCACCCAGAACATCCGCTTGGGCTCTGCGTTCTGCAGCTGGCTCAGGGTGGGCAGGGTTACCGGCTTGATCTCAATGGGTACGTCCTGGGCGGCAATCCGGTTCAGGCCAACGCGGTACTTCGCTTGCAGGTTAGGGTCCCTGCAAGTAAAGGGGAGAAGGAGTAGGGGAGATCCAGAGAGCGGGGGCAGCCTGCTTTCTGAACTGCTTCTTCTTACCTCCTCATTCCTTTGTAGGGAGTCCGGACTTAGCCTGAAAATTCCCCTCTGGCAGGCAGGCGTGTCCGGACTTTGAAGCCCTTTTTTGCTTCTGATGAGCCATGGGGCTTTGTGCAAGTTAGCAATCTCCCTGAGCCCATTCTCCCATCGCAACACGTGGACAATGACAGTAGCCGACCTCACAGTGACACTGCGGGGAAGGCAAGATGATGCACACAGAGCCCACACGTCCCAGTCCCAAGGCGCACCTCCACGCGCACCATCCTAGGCGCTGCGCCCGCGGTAGCACCCCACACAACCCTGCAAGTCAGGTGCGAGTACTGCCCCCGTGAATCACACGACTAGCACAGAGCCCCAGCAGCCTGCTGGGGGGGTGGGGGGAAGAAGTTAGGGTCTGGACCCAGGCGGCCTGGCTCCGTGGTTCACACTCTTCACCGCCTCACTCTTCCGAACACTCAGGGGCCAGGCTGCCCGACTTGGACCGAGTCGCCTAACCCTGAGTGATGGGAGACTCTGCATCCCCAGGGGGAGGAGCCCATTTCCAGGGAAGCTCCTCGGTCATGGTCATAGCCACACCTAGCGCACATAGGAATGTCCATTTTCATCCCTGTCCTCTCGGGCAATGTCCATTCTGCGACGATGGAACGTTCTCTGTCTGCAGCTGCTGGCCCCATGTGGCTACTGAGTGCTTGAAATGTGGTTAGTATGGCTGAGGAACAGAACTCTTCTCTCTGATGTCAAGTACAATGCTATGTGGCTTTCTTATCTGACACACAGCTCTAGATTTTGGGACCTGCAAGAACAATGTCCTCCTTTCACTCCAGCAAACATTTCTTGGGCTCCAACCGCAGACTAGGCTTTGAGCTTATTCCTCTCCGTCAGTAGTGGTATAACTACAACTTACTGAACACTCACTGAGTGCCTTATTCATCTCTTATCTCATTTAATCCCCACTGCAGCCTTCCTACGAGGTAGGAGTTATGATTAGCACCATTTTATAACTCAGGGCATAGGCTCAGAGTGGGAAAGCATCTTGCCCAAACTCACACAGCTAGTAGGGACGGGGTCTGGATTTGAACCTGGAGCTTCCCCAGGTTCAGACCCACACCTGCCCCATCACACCCTGCTGCTGCCCCACACGCAGCACAGGACGGAGGCAATCTCCCTCGGATACAGCTGTGAGTAGGCAGACCAAAAACAAACATTTTGTAAATGAAGAAGCAGGGCTCGGAGAGGCCGGGGAGTTGGGCAGGGTCACAGAGCAAATGGGCATCGGAGAGCACAGCCCTGGCTGACATCCACGCACTGGTCCGGTGGCGAAGCCCAGGGCGCTTCCCTTGTCCCGGCATTTTTCCACCTTTATCAGGTGTGACCCCGGTAAGAAATATATTTTACCAGGTGAGAGTTCAAATATTTAATACGCCCTGGCTGGTGTGGCTCTGTGGATAGAATGCCAGCCTGCAAACCAAAGGGTCACCGGTTCAATTCCCAGTCAGGGTACGTGCTTGGGTTGTGGGCCAGGCCCCCAGTGAGGGGCATGGGAGAGGCAACCATTCAATGCATCTCTTGCACATCAATGTTTCTCTCCCTCTCTTTCTCTCTCTCTCTCCCTTCCCATCTCTCTAAAAATAAATAAATAAAATCTTAAAATATTTAACGTGCACTAAGGCAAAGGCAGCAGGAAGGAACCCTCCCCTTGCCAGCATTGGCTCTTAGGCTGCTGGATCATGTGACCTTGAAGGAGTGGGCAGGGCATCACACAGGGATGGGGAGGTGACTACTGAGTAGTTACAGAAGGGTGTCAATGTTTTACCAGCCGGTAAAACTGCACTGTGCACCTGGACTGGCTGATCCATAAGCCCTGCGTCTTCCGTCATGACGCAGCACACGCACACGCACAGACACACTGCCACACACAACTGAAACTCAACTTTCACACAAGCATTCTTACCCCCACTACATACAGTACACCCCGGTATCTTCTTTCCGAGTCCGTATTTTTGAATGGTCAAGACGCACTAACGGAGCCCGTGACCCACACACAGGTGGCCATGGCACTGACCTGAAGTGTCCAGGTCTCTCACCTTAGGTACTGGTCAATGAGGGTCTCGTAGTCCAGCAGCTCCTCCGGCGGGGGCACCGCGGGCATGCAGAACTGGTGCTGTATGGGGCTGGGCTGCACCAGCTGGAAGGAGGCCTGGCAGGTGAAGATGGGCCGGCCGTGCTGCACGGCCTTCACGGAGCGCACCGAGAAGCTGGCACCTGTGCGCGTCCGCTCGACGTGGTACAAAACGGGCACCTTCGGGTCCCCTGCAGGGGGCACAAGGGACAGGGCGAGCCTGAGTAAGCCCCACAGACCCTGGCGTCACCACAATGGCTGGACAGGCACTGCTGCTACTCGCTCTCCACTCCTTTCTGTTCGGTGGCTACTGACTGAGGCCAGCGGAGGCCCAGGTACTGGGGACAGACAGAACACCAGACCCTGTCCTGGGGATGCTCCCAGGGCAGGTGAAACCCTTCTTTCCAACAGCAGCGAACAGAAGGGACGTGGCCAGATCCCCTACACTCAAATCCCAGCTCATGGGCTGTGTGACCTTGGGAAAGTCACTTAACCTCTCTGAGCAGTCTACCCACTATAAAATGAGGATCATCATACTGTGTATAAATCTCAGGATTTTAATGAGAATTAGTTTGCAATTATAAAGTGATTAGAATAATATCTGACACACAGCAAGTGCTCTGTGTTTGTTAAATACAATAAACATTCCTAGCTTTTGCCCCGTTCCATCTGTGACTGGGATCTCGTCACGCATGAGTCTAGTACCATTCTTCTAGATCAGGGGTCAGTACATCTGTTCTGTATTTTGTTGATTTTGCCAGCATAACCGAAAATATTCACTATCTGGCCCTTTGCTGACTCCTGCTCTAGATTTCCCAAGCTGTCACCCTATACCAAGTCAAATGACTTCTGTCCTATATATTTGTACTTCTCTAGAGAAATACTTCTTTAAAAAAATACAGCCCTGGCTGGTGTGGCTCAGTGGATTGGGTGCCTGCCTACAAACCGAAAGGTTGCCAATTCGATTCCTGGTCAGGGCATACGCCCCTGCGTTGCAAGCCAGGTCCCCAGTTGGGGTGGGCAAGAGGCAACCACACACTGATGTTTCTCTCCATCTCTTTCTCCTTCTCTAAACATAAAAAAATACATATATTTTTTAAATTAAAAAAAAAACAAACAAACAAACAGCCCTGGCTGGTATGGCTCAGTGGATTGAGCACCAGTCTACAAACCAAAAGATTGTCAGTTTGATTCCTGGTCAGGGCACATGCCTAGGTCATGGGCCCCGTCCCCAGTTTGGGGGGAAGGGGGGGTACAACTGATCAATGTTTCTATTACAGTCACTGTTTCTCTCCGTCTCTTTCTCCTTCTCTTCCCTTTTCTCTAAAAATAAATAAATAAAATCTTTTAAAAAACCCTAACTAACATTCTAGCCTAGGCTTTTAGAAAAACAATTGATATGCTAAAAGGCCAAGGACCAACAACCCTCCCTAGCATCTTTTCATTAAAAATATCACCAGAGCCTCGGTCGGATGGCTCCGTTGGTCGGTCGCAGTGTCGACCTGTGCACCAAAAGGTTGCAGGTTTGATCCCTGGTCAGGGCACATACCTAGGCTGTGGGTTCGAACCCCAGTCAAGGTGCACACAGGAGGCAACTGATCAATGTTTCTGTTTCTCTCCCCTCTCGCCCTCTCTCCCTTCCTGTCTTTCTAAAATCAATAAGCATATATCCTTGGGTGAGGATTTAAAAAAATATGTCATTGGATCATCATCATTGGTTATAATATTTAATGTACCCAGTAGAGAGTCACATTACAAAGTGGTGTCAAAAAAAAAAAAATGGAGACAATTGAAAATGGAGCAGGAGCTGCCGTCACAGAGGCACTGCCTTGCACTTCTTATGCGCCAAACCTCTGGGATGTTTAAACAGGGCCAAACAGCCCTGGCTGGTGTGGCTCAGTGGATTACATGCTGGCCTGACAATCAAAGGGTTGCTGGTTTGATTCCCAGTCTAGGGCACATGCCTGGGTTACGGGCCAGGTCCCCAGCAGGGGGCATGGGAGAGGCAACCACACATTGATGATTCTCTTCCTCTTTCTCCCTCCCTTCCCCTCTCTAAAAATAAATAAATAAAATATTTAAATAAACATAAAAGTTAAAAAAAAAAACAAAAAACAGGCAAAATAGCCCTGGCCGGGCAGTTCAGTTGGCTAAGGCGTCATCTCCAAACGCCAAGGATGCGGGTTTGATCTCCAGTCAGGGCACATACAAGAAACCACTAATGAATGTATCAATAAGTGGAACAACAAATCAATGTTTTTGTTTCTGTCTCTCTCACCCTTAAATCAATTTTTTTTTTTGAAAAAGAAACGCCATGGCTGGTGTGAGTGAGTGCATTGAGCGCCAGCCTATGAACTGAAAGGTTGCTGGTTCGATTCCCAGTCAGGGCAAATGCCTGAGTTTTGGGCCAGGTCCCTGGTTGGAGGTGTGACGTTTCTCCCTCACAATGGTGTTTCTCTCCCTCTCTCTCTCCCTCCCTTCCCTGTCCTCCCTCTCCCAAGGCAGGCCCCCAAGACCAGGAAGAAGTGCCTGCTGGGTCACCAGGGCTGGGCTGGAGGCAAGGAAGGAGTGGCTTACCTGCCCGCACAAAATAGCAGTGCAGGGAATGCACGTGAACGTCTTCACTCACAGACTTGGCTGCAGCCACCAGGGCCTGGCCCATGATCTGGCCCCCAAACAGCCGCTTGGTTGTGGGTACCCAGTAATGCCTTCCTCTGTGGGGAGAAAGGGAAAGCAGGAAAGACTTCAGGGATGGGCCAAACCCTACAATGATCAGTACAAATCTCTTAACTTCACTGGGGCTTGGGATCCTTTTGAGAATCTGGTGAAAGTCCTGGACCCTTTGCCCAGACAAATGCTCTTACATCATTCTGCACGCAGAATACACTTCCAAGGCCTTCAGGATTGCCTGACCCTTCTGTGGACTTCGGTTCAGGATAAGACCCTCCCCCCCATATTTTATACTAACAGGGATCAAAGAGGGGAAGTGGCTTTAGCAAGGTCACACAATTGCTAATACTTAGCAGTATCTGGGTCTTTGGACGCCGAGTCTGGTATTTCTTCCACTGCCCACACCAGGGTAAGGCAGAAGCCTCTCAAGGCCTTGAGTGGACCAAGATGGACCCCAAGAACTAAAATGGACTGCATTAAGGCTTGCCACATACACCCCTCAACTTTGACAACCCCAAAACTACATTTAGAGCTCAAAGGGCCCCCGGACTGCAAGTTTAACCCCTTCAGCATGCAGCTGGGAAAACTAAGGCCCCAGAGGTGAAAAGGGATTGCCCAAGGCAGGAACCTTGTGGAGGCTGAAGGGTTTGGGTCACTTGCTTTCCAAGGCCACACCCAAGTTTAGCAATTTTATAGAATGCTTTTGTTAATAGCTCTCTAGGAAGATACAGTGATCCCTCACCTGTCGAGGGAGTCACGTTCCAGAGACCCCCGCAACAGGTGAAAGTCCACAAAGTAGCGGTGTTATATTTATTTTATTATGTATATATATTTTAAGGCTTTACAAGCTCTTCCCACACTCCTATAAACCTTTCCCACTCTTATTAACCTTTCCCACACTCTTATAAAAACTTCATATGCTCTTAAACACTTTCTACACTCTTAAACCTACATAATTTTAACAACGTATAAAATTCTATATGGGTACTCAACAGTGAAGTACACAGTCCTCCCGTGCTATATCACGCGGTGAGTGGACCGCGATATAGCGCGGGACGACTGTCTTTGCGATTCCTTAAATAGGGGGAAGAGAAGTTAACACTCAAAATAGCTCCCAACAAGCTAGTAGGAGCCTTGAAGGCCAAACGTGTTAAGTCCCCAGCTGCAGTCAAGAATTTACGTGGCTCGGGGAAAGAAAATGCGTCAGGCTTCGGAATGAGTAAGGAGCTACCACACCTCAACAAGTGGTGATGTGAAAAGGATAAAGAGTGAATATGCAAGGAGCTGAGGATAAGTTTTAAACCTGATTATCTGCGTTAGTCTGTGGACTAACCGCAGCCCTTTTGAGCCTGGTTCGCAGGGACACGGGAAGCTGCTGAGGAGGACATCTCAGGTCACCACTTTATTAGCCCAGACTGCCAGGTGCTCCTAGGGGTGGGGCTGCGCAAAGCCGGCGTGGCGAGGGAGCAAGCCGGGGCAGCGAGGACAGCTCTGTCAGGCACAAGTTCTCTCCCGATCGCCGCAGAGCGGACAGCCGTCACAGAGCCCATCCTCTTCCAGAAGACTATGAGCCGGAGGCCACACACAGAGTGGTGGCAGTGGCGATCGGGAGCCTCTGTCCTAATAGGGCATGCGCGCCAGATGCGGCCGGCTACCTGAAGAGATCTCCGTCCAGCTGCTCGAGGTTGAGCACGCTAGTGACCAGGACGCTGCGGAGGTCCCTGGGGGGATCGCCACCTCCCTGCCCATCCTCCGGGGCCTGCGGGGAGGTCATGTCCGTCACTTGCTGTGGGCGGGAGACAATACGCTGAGTCGGACTTGCGGAGACCAGTCCTGAATTCGCAGGTTCCCGCAGCTAGCTCAAGCAAACGGAAGTAACTGAGAAAAAAGGATGCAAATTATGATTGGTCAGTGCACCTGTCAGTCTTCGGGTGTGTGGCTACCTTTCTGTAGTGATTGGAGAAAAAGAGTATCAGTCTGAGAATCTTATTTGTGATTGGATATGACCGTGACGGGGCGGAGCCCAGGGACTTGATAATGAGGGCTGAGCGTCATTTCCCCTCTATCAGAGAGCAAAGACGCCCCCCAACCCATTTAACCCGTTGAGACTTGAGCTCCTCCTGGGCTCCGTCGCAGGCCACCCAATTGGGGCCGACCTTGAAGGCGTTCTAGGTCTACGCCAGCCTGCAGACCCTCATAGTGTGACCTCTGACCCTGGTATTTGATCTTAGCCCGGCCCCTGGAGTGGGCTGAGGGGGCAGCCATGGAGCTGGGCAGCTGCTTTAAGACCTACGAGGACTTCAAGAAGTGCTTCAGCATCTACAAAAAGGAGAACAGGTGCTCCTTCATTCTCAGGGACCGCGTCTCCGTCCGCTTCCACAACCTCAACCATGGCACCTCTATCCGTGAGGACATCCTGTAAGGGCGGGGTGGGGACGGGGCAGGAGGGTGGAGAGGAGGCTGGACAGTCCCCTGGAGGGCGGCCTGGAGGAGGAGGGAGTGCAGTTGGGCCCCCGTTGCTGGAAGCATTCAACAGGCACTCATTAAGCCCCTACTGGGTGCCTGGTGAAAAGAGAGCCACACCTCCCCAAGCATCAGTTTTTGAACTCCCACTTCACCACCTTTGCCGCTCACTCACAGTCCTTCCTTCACAGCTTTTCTGGAATTCACACTAAGTGCAACTTGTCCCATTTTCTGAGCACATGCCATATACCAGACACAAAGTATGGCCTTCACAAATAGGTAAAAAATGCCTTGGGGATAATTTCCTTCATCACTCTCTTTACAAAGCAGTAATGCAGTCAGTTGTTGGTTAGTTCCGTCCGTTCGTTCGTTCATTCATTCATTCATTCATTCTTGAGCTCCTGAGATTAACAACCATTTTTCAAAAGGTTTTTGTGGCTTAAGCAGCGTTCTGCAGTCTGTGCATGCTTTACCCCACAGAGCCGTATTAACAATTATAGTTAAATGTTATTTTTCCCATTTGGCAGATGCATTTCAGGGCTCAGGTGAAACCACCCAGTGTAAGAAAGTTTCCTTTTAATTTTACTGTAAGAGAAGTGATGCAATTAACAATGAACACCAGGTCTTTGTGCTGGGGACAGCAGACGTGTGGATGGGGCAACATGAAAAGCAGGCCCTATCCAATCGACTCCAGCTGATGACCACCATGTCAAAATAAAGACCTAGTGTTGCCAGAATCTGGGGCAAGACAAGTCAGAAATCCAGTCTATATGTGAATTTCTCCACTTTTTACAAATTGAAGGTCAGTTCAATTTGAACACACACCACGTGAGCCAACTCCGAGGGTCAAAGTACATCTGAGACCTGGGTTGAGATGTTTGGCCAAAGCTCCCGTCCAGGACGGCAGGCTACGTTCTTTGCCCTGCTCTGAAGTCCATGGCCATGCTGCGTGCAGACAACATAAAGATGAATAAGAAACCAACCTACCCTCAACAAGCTTAAGATGGGGTAGATTTTACTGCTCCAGTGAACTGAGTAGTATGTGATAAATGCTTTAAAAGAGATGCGCAGAGGGAGTGACAGATGCCTGGGAAGGAGAGGAAGGCTTCGTGCCAGAGGTGATGGTTTCTGCTGAGCCGTGAATGGATGCAAAGGGCGAGAACAGGAGTTCAGTGGTCCATGTCTGAGTAACGTGGAGGAGTTTGGCCACAAGTTACTGTGCAGAGGGAGCTGTGAAGCGAGGTCCAGGCAAGTGAAGGAAGGTGGTGTATTTAAGAAATAACGTGGGATGCCATGCTTGGCAGGAGATGAAGTCCGTTGCAGTCTACCTGAGAAGCTTTTGGGTACCATCGTGAGGGGTTTGGACTTGACCCTAGGCCAGTAGCACCTGTCTAAGCAGTGAGAACGGCTCAAAAACATGCACTGCTCTTGAGATGCTTACAGTCCAGATCAGATAAATGCAGCAACCTCCCATTCCCCCCAGGTGGAGTCTAAGACCTTTAACCTGGCCCCCCAGACCATCTGACCCCCTGACCTCTCCATCTGGCACCGTGTGCCCATCCATATCGAGTCTGCCCCATGCTCAGCCCCTGTCCCAAGCCCACGGCTTCTTGGTTCTTACACTTACCATGTCCATTGGTTAGGATGACCTTGCCCATCACTTTTCGTCTGTGTTAGTAATTTTGTACACTATCACCTCAGTAGTCTGTATCCTGTACTACAAGTTATATAGCATTTTTCCTTTAAATTCAGTTTTAATATTCAAAGAAGCCTGTTTTAGGCCCACTCTAAGCAACAGTATGTAAAAGGTAACAATATGGTGGCCCCCTCCAAATGGGATGTATTTATACGTAACTGTTAAAACAAATATTCTTGTGCAAGCCGATGTCATTTTGGGCCCGTCAGGGGAACCTGTTTTCGTTCACTGCGACTGCTCCTTCAGAGTTCAGCACACTTTCCAGCAAGGCTCCGACACCCTGCGGGTTAGGTCAGATGCTCAGCTGGACTCTCCCCGCACCTGTTACTCCTGGCATAGCCATTCTGGCGGGAGAGGTGGCGCTTTGACCTTTTATTGGATTATAATCAGATTAGAAAAGGATGGGGGGTGTTGTTCTGAGGCCCCCGAGCTGTCAGGGCGCTGTAACTGGAGGCTGCGGGTTGGCCCAGTGCTGTCTTCCGCCTGTGGCTGTAGGGAGCCGTCAGTTCTGCTCGCTGAAGTTTTTGCTTCCAGTCATTTCCAGTCTCATTAAGAATTGCCGGATTCAAGCCCTGGCTGGCATAGCTCAGTGGATTGAGCGCGGGCTTCGAACCAAAGTGTCACAGGTTCGATTCCCAGCCAGGGTACATGCCTGGGTTGCAGGCTATAACCCCCAGCAACCACACATTGATGTTTCTCTCTCTCTCTCTATCTCCCTCCCTTCCCTCTCTAAAAATAAATAAATAAAATCTTAAAAAAAAAAAAAAAAGAATTGCCAGATCCTGGAAGGATTAGGTCGGGAGAAAAATGTAAGTGTTCCAATATTGCTTATGAGGGTCTAATTTACAAATTGTTCTAGGGAAAAAAAGCTTTGTTATATCGGTCACTGGCGGTGAAGATGGGCAAGGAGGAGACGGAGAAGGATCAGAGTCCTGTCTCCGAACCTCACAGAGACAGGGTTAGGGGTCAGCCCGGGTCGAGCTTCCACTGCCCACTGCTCCCCTAGTTGCGAGTCTCAGGAGGCTGGAGGAGAGGGAGAAATAGACAATGTCCCTGTACGGGCCACCAAAATGTTAGGGTGGTTGGTAACATAGACTGTGAAAGAACTTACAAAGAGAAGAAAGTGTAAAGAGGGAAGTTTTTATTCACTCTCCAAGAGGGGAGAGGGCCATGGTACAGAGAGACACAGCCGCCACATTTTTGTTTTGAAATACAGTTTGCAAAGGCTTCCACGGGCTGGCTGAGCTCTCCCTGGGAGGACTGTGGCTTACCACTTTCTGTGTTCTCACTGATTAGCACGGTGCCACTGCCTGGGATCCAGTCTGAACACCTCACGTTTCCATGGAAACACCCTTCCAGCACACCGTCCCGGGTCCAGCACAGGTCTGGGCCCATAGCAGACTTTCCATAATGTTTGCATAGATGAGTCGTCGAGTGCGAACTGTGACTCAGCGAAAGAGCAGTAGTAGGGACCCAGAAGAGAGGAAATCCGTTTTCTATTTGGTGCTCTAACGAATGACCACCAAGGTAGTGATTTCAATGCAAATTATCTTAATAGTTCTGCAGCAGTCAGACACAGGTCGCCCCGGGTTAAAGTCCAGCTGCCAGCAGGGCTGCATGTCTTTCTGGAGAACCTGGAGACGAGTCCCTGTCCTTGTCTTCCGCAGCTGCTAGAGTTGGCCCACCCCCTTGGCTCGTGGTCCCCTTCCTCTTCTGTCCTCAAAGCCAGCAGTGGCAGGTCCAGTCCCCGAGTCACATCCCCTCACCTTGTTTTGGGGGTCCCATCTCCATGTCTCAGGGAGACAAATGTTAAACTTTAATCACAGGAGTAATTATTTCCTTAAAATAATAGTGAGTGCTCCAGCGGAAAAGTCTGGAGTGCTGGATGGGGAACGACAGGGAACTTTAATCTTGGCGGGTAGGGTGGGGGTGCTGATTGACACTTGATACCGGTGCAGGCTCTAGATGAGAAAAAAAAAAGTCATCCCTAACATTTTGCACAAATAGTTTGTTTACGAAGCACATTCCCCTTCATTATGTGACTTGGTCCTCAGAATAACCGTGTCAGAGGTAGGTTTGGTTATTCCCATCATGCGCCAATAACATGTAAAGTGCTATAATAGCATTAATAACACCACAGTGCCTAGTACATAGAAACCATTCCATAAATATTAACTGTGGTAATATTATTTTGCAGATGGGAAACAGAGCTAAGAGAAGTTACATGTTAAGAGGACTAATAGTTTCTACCTCTCTGCTTTACATTAAAGCTCGGAGTTTCCAGGTTCCATGTGCTTGAGCAAAAAGCAGGAGAGGAAAGATTTAGTAAAGGGGAAGCCAGGAATGGCGATTAATGTTTTCAAGACTTGGAAGAGGAAAATAAGAGAACCCTATAGCAAATGCACCCTCGCCTTCAAAAATCACCTGGTGTGAGCCAAGGAAGTCTGAATTTATTACAGTTACAGCCGAGAAAAAATAGGAATGGGCAGAAAAGAGGGCTCATATTGGAACAGGAAGTAGGGTAGGATTTTAAGAAACTGTAAGAAAGTCCGTGAGTGTTAGAACTGATGGTCAAAGCCAGCCTGCTTATTGTCCGAGTGCTTAACTGCCCTACTTAATCAATGGGTTGTAACGGCTTTTTAACAGCACTTACTACTTACTAATTCAGTCAACAAACTTCTAGTCAGAGGTAAAATGTTTACCCCCAGGTGCTGAGCTGGAGCACAAAGATGGGTAAACTGTGGTCTCTGCCCTAGAGGACAGTAGTGGCCTGGGCTCGTTTATGAGGAAGTGAATTCTGAGCAGGCCAGGCCTTCAGCAGAGACTTTGGATGTTATAAACAATATTCCTTTAAAAAATATATTTTATTAGTGCTTGCTTCGGCAGCACATATACTAAAATAGGAACGATACAGAGAAGATTAGCATGGCCCCTGCGCAAGGATGACATGCAAATTCGTGAAGCGTTCCATATTTAAAATATATATATATATGTATTTGATTAACTATGCATTACAGTTGTGCCACTTTCCCCCCTTTACTCCCCTCCGTCCTGTACACCCCCTCCCACCCGCATTCCCCCACTTTTAGTTCATGTCCATGGGTCATACATATAAGTTCTTTGGCTTCTACATTTCCCATACTATTCTTAATTGCGCCCCGTGCCGCCCCCCCACCCGTCTATTTCCTACCTACCATCTATGCTACTTATTCTCTGTATCTTTTCCCCCTCTCTCCTCCTCCCACTCCCTTGTTGATAA